AAGCAGAAACTATTGGAAATAGGTGATCCTTCAAATAATCACAAGGCTTTATACATAGTAACAAGTATATTGATTTGCTCCTAAAAGCCAACTAGCAACCAGTTGTGAAACAGTGGTTATAAAACAGTGATGACATGGGTATATGGTGGTGCACCTATCATTCTTCAAATGGTTCTTTTTTAATGTTTCAGCTGACACATTCTCTGAGTCTGAAAGAGAAATAACTACCATTAATCCAGTTATTCTGCTGGTACAAATCTCAAACAATTATCTTGCCCTCATTCCGGTGTGTGCCATCTTTTGTGAAGACAGCTTTAGCAGTAAACCAAGCACCATGCTATCAGCATCTTACAACACAGAAAATATAAAGTACAGTAAACAAGGGTAGCAGCTGATTTCTGTTCTACCCTATTCTAATATAGCTGAGGGACATCAGTTAAGTTTCCACTGAATATTCCTTGCCCATGGATAAATAAATGAAATTGAAGTCTGGATTGGCACAAACAAATATGAATAATGAAGTATATTTTTTTTTGTATGAATGTGATAAAGTTATCTTCATTTTTTATCCTCTTTCCCAGAGAACAAACAAATAATTTAGGTTTTCCAAACTGAAATAATTCAATTGGCAAAGCTAAAGCATCATGTCACAGAAGGGATTGGTCTGCCTAGGCCATAGTGAAATTGAAGAGGTCCTTTCCATAAGAACAAGACCAAGCAGGATAGGAGTATGGACATTTTGAATTCCACCCTTGTAATCTTGAAGGCCCTTCTAATTCTTTAGTCAATATGTCTAAAGCAGCTGCAGCTTTTGTTATTCCTAGCTGACCTCTGGAAGCTCCCTTTGCACATGTGATAGCTTCATCAAATAATCTTTCTATGTATCCAAGATATTGCTTGGGTCCTCTCTGGCTTTTAATAGTTTTTAAAATAGTTTTTCATGATGACTGTTGTATATACTTATTGGTTTTCTTTGTAATTCACTGTCGTATGCTGCCCAGCGTCACTCTTGTGAGATGGGTAGCCATGTAAATATAATAAATACAATACACTGAAAAAAAGACTCTTGTCAAGAAACCTGTAACTTCTAAAGGATAACCTATATGTGTAAATTTCCAGATTATTACAGTTATAGGTAAGAACTGTATATACATGGGAATAAGTCGAGAATTTAGGTGCCAAAATATACCCCCAGATTATCTAAAGATGGGCTTATACACAAATATATATATATAGTTGGTTTTTACAGTCCAACCCCCTGCTTGAGCAGAAGACCTTATATCATTCTGGACAAATGGCTGTCCAATCTCACCCACCCCTTCTGGAGGCAAGCTGTTCCACTGATTGTTTTCACTGTCAGGAAATTTCTCCTTAATTCTAAATTGATAAACTAAATAAATATTTTTGCTATGTAATTTATTGCCACAAGTTGTACTAATTATTTCAGTTTAGAAAGCTTTTAAAGATGATTAGTTAAATTCATAATGGATTACATAAACAGCTATAAGTTGAGTGTATGTATTTATTTAATTTGCCTCTTAATAACAGACTTGGAGAACAAGAAAAAGGATGCTGTTGCATTTTTTGCTGCTCACAGGCTTCTTTTGGCATGTGATATCTGTATGACATCAAAATACCTCAACAACTAGACATTTAGTCTATTACTTCTCATCCTGCCCTTAAGTGCTTTGGAGAATAGCTTGACCCACTCTTCTCTGTGACAGCCCCTCAAGTACTGGATGGCTGCTATCATATCTCCTGTAATCCATCTCCTTCAGTTTTTATACATGGTATTAAGAAAATGATTTACATATGACTAAAATTCTCATTTCTGCTTGATTATACCCTTCAATTGGGTAAAGCGATGCATTGTAGGACAACAATTTTTCAGCTTCTGTCCTTTGAAAAAGCTTGTCTCCGAAGATAATATCCACCCCATCTCTGTAGCCTTCAGGAAAAACCTTAAAACCTGGCTATGCCAATAGCCATGGGTTCTATAGGGGAAGCTACTGTCTGGTGCACTAACAGAAAAGGCACACCACCTCTCCTCTCCAAATCTTGTTCTTTGACTTTTTAATTTTTTTTGTAATTTTTATCCAATTTTATATTTATAATCATTAATTTTTTTAATCTGGATGTAAGCCACTCAGCGTTTCCTGAACTTCAAGATGGGTGGCAAATAATTTTGATAAAATAATGAATAAAATTTTGAATTGACGTTCCTTAAATGGACTAACTTACAGAATTCATCCAAAATCTGGGACCCAGATGACTCTTGTGGGATTGAAATTTGGCAAAGTCATGATCTCATCAGTGCTGCCATGCTGCTATAGTCAGCCAGGTAGAAGTCGGAAGTTGCTCCTGTTCCCACAAAAAAGTAGTGGTCATTCTGTTTTAAGAAATATCTCTGAAGCAAATGATCAACGGATCATGGGTTGTTTAGCCTTTAATAAAATAAAAACATAAAATTAATTAGAAAAATAATAAAAACAGTTCTTCACAAAATACATAATTTTCCTATGCAGTTTATTGCCACAAGTTGTACTAATTATTTCCGTTTGGAAAGCTTTTAAAGATGATTAGTTAAATTCATAATGGATGACATAAACAGCTATAAGTTGAGTGTATGGATTTATTTAATTTGCCTCTTAATAACAGACTTGGAGAACAAGGAAAGGGGTGCTCTTGCATCTTTTTCCTTCACTTGGGCTTCTTTAGGAATGTGATATCTGTATGACAACAGAAAAACTCAACAACTAGACGTTTAGTCTGGCAGGACTTTTCTTAGGATATTTTAGATATCATAAGTAATGAAGTTGCTTGATTCTCTGTTATTCTAAGCTCTTTATTTATTCCTACTGAAATAAAACAACATTTACGTGTGTGATATTGAGTTCTTTATTCTACAAATCTTATTGTAAAGAGAATGTTATTAGAAAAAGAAATTTAGGTAAAAACCATGTCCACAATTTTGACTATTATCAATTCTAGAAGTATAGAAATTATATTTAATAAAATCATGTTTTTATATGGTGTTTTCAAAAGTTTAAGTTAACAAAAATAAAGTTTACAGTTTGATACAGTTCCTAAGATTTATGAAAACTATAAAATATCAAATATGTGAAAAATAGACATTAAAAGAGTCTTAAGAAATTTAAAGTATAGTTATCTTTGAGAAAAGAAATAAATATTGTATATAGAGGCCTAAATTCTGGATTAAGTCATACAGTAATAAATCTATGCTTTGAACTTCAAATGTTTAGCCCAAATAAGAGAAGGCTAAGCGGAGCCTTGATATCATCTTCTGCATGTCATCCATTTGAAAAGGATGTCAAAAGGAAGAGGATGTGGATTTGGTTGTCATAACCTGGAGAGTATGACAAGTACCAATGGAAAGTTTACATAGAGATATGCAAACTCTAAAGGAGAAAGAATTTCCTGACCACGAAATTTATGGAAGAGCCTGCCTCTGAGTTCTAAGTGTTTTACCATTGGATATTTTCAAGCACAGATTGGACAGCCACTTATCTAGAATAATCTGAAGGTTTTTTTTCTGGGTAGGGGATTGAACTAAAAGACTCCAAGGTCACTTCTAACCCTATCCTTCAATTTTAAAATGAACAAAATCATTAAAATAATATATAAAATAGTTGAATATAAAATGGGATGATTTAAATACACCAGAGTTTGCCCAGAAATGTTATACTTTTGTACAGCAAATATTTGCCTCACTATGTCAAATGCTTGCCAGAAGAATTTTTATAAGCAGAAGTAATATGCGTGAGAAAGATTTTTCTTTACCCTGCAGCTCATATGCATTAATGAAATGCATATTTTGCATTTCTTTGTTAAATTTAATATGGTTGCCCAGAATCTTTTTGAAATCCAAAAACAAATCAATTATCCCAGACCTCAGTATATAAACTGTTAATTTTAAAAAAAAAATCATTTTCCTTTTTAAAATTAATTTCAGAGGTAGGAACAAGAACAGCACTGACTCAAGAAATCTAAAGATTACAAGAAATATAATACAACCTCCATGGCAATTGAAGTATATTAGTAACAGTACTAATAGCAATGATCATTATGATAATGTACTCCATTTTAAATTACAAAAAAACTGTATTCTGTCTGATTTCTACTAAAAGGTATATTGCATTCAAAATGTAGTTCTGAAAATTGGAATGATAACAGAATCAACAGGGCATCTTAACTAGAATCTGACTATTCCCCATATTGAAAAAGTACCTAAGAAAGTAACTAGAAATCCCAAAATATATAGAGAATTTGAGACATGGATTCAAATTTCTTGTCAGATTTGACAGAGGCAATACAACTGTGTCTTCAAAATTCAGTTTGGGTCATCTACTGCCTTCTCTGTGATTGTCAAAGGTTGGTGGTGAGACATGCCTTTATTTGGGCAGATCCTATGAAATAGTATAGGAAACTAGCACATAATCAACTGTCTTCTTTACATGTTTGCTGCTAAATGACATTGAATAAGTACAGAACATTACAAAGGTACTTGATTAGGACCCAGAAGACCTAGGTTTACAGCTATCCACAGCCATGGAAGCTCACCCTCAGTGCAACCGACTTCACAGTATGGGGGAAAAATGAGGTAGAATGTTGTGTGCTTGGCCTTGGCTCTTTGAGGAAAGCAAAATATAAGCAAACAAACAAATATATGCAAAATAATTTGTTCTTTTCTGCTATGTTACTTAGTATTGGAAAATTTGATAGTACCAAGCAGATGTTTCTGAAGCATTATTTTTCTAATTTTGCATTGAAGCCTTGCAGTGTAGGACCAGTAAATGTTTGTATCATGGCTGCTGTGAAATTCCAGAATAGGAATGTATTTCTAATTGCTTCTCATGAATTTTGGAGGATTTTCCACCTATATTTTCCTGCCTTATTTTGTGTTGCCATTTCTATTAATTTTGGGGAGCATAACACTACTAATTTACAGACTTGAATATTTCTCTACTTTTTTGTTGCAGAAACTCCTGTTGTATTTCCAGACAACATCAAAGAAAAAGAAACCCCACCAATTGAAGATATTCCATTGGAAAGCTCTATTCCTCATACCGATTCTGGAATTGAAGAGGAGCAAATACCCAGTATTTTAAATGGGACAGATTTAGAAACAGGCCCTGGTCCAGATGCTATGAGTGAATTGCTATCTACTTTGTCATCTGAGGTGAAGAAATCTCAGGAAAGTTTAACAGAAAGTTCCAGTGAAATTCTGAAGCCTGCATCTTCAATATCAAGTATTAGCCAAAGCAAAGGTATTAATGTTAAAGAAATATTGAAAAGTCTGGTAGCAGCACCGGTTGAAATTCCAGAATGTGGGCCTGATCCGATTCCTTATCCTGATCCTGCACTGAAAAGAGAAACTCAGCCTATTCTCCCAATGCAGTTTCACTCTTTTGACAGGTGTGTAATACAATCCACTCATCTGTCTGTCTTTCTGTCTGCCTGTCTATCTACCCTACCTACCTACCTACCTACCTACCTTATTCTTGATAGTTGAACCGTGTTATGTTCATACATAAAACATTTAACTATGATTTGGTAAGTAAACCAGAAACATTTGAAATATTCAGATGACATTGTTTTTGCCAGCCAGTTTAATTCTCATCCTGCTTTACTGAAGTATCTCCGTAGAGAATGGTACACCAGCGTAGATCTGGGTGAAAAAGTCACTAGAAATGTTTGCAACTAAAAATAGTTAATACCAACTGGTAATGTGAACACAATTATTTTCACAGATGTTTACAATAATCATAGGTCATCTAGTCAGCTCAAAGGACTGTTTATTTTATGTTGTAGTTTACTTGGCTATATATTTGTTAGTTTTAATTTAGTGTTTGTTTTTGCAAATGTTTATGTTCTGTACATTCAGAGTTTGAATTTCTATACAATTCTAGTAATGAAAAAATAAGAAAACAATAAACTACATAAAAAGTTTGGCTGCATAAAAGGCAAAAGAAGACATATATGGGAGCTGTAAAGAGAGTTAGTACACCATTAAGATTATAAACAGATACCAAATAATTGTACAGATGGTATTAGAAAAATCTAAAGCCCAGTCAGAAAAACCTAAACCCCAACCTAAAGTTGAGGATATTAAGAACAGCTTTATGAGACATATTTGAAGTAGAAGGAAAAGAATCAAAATATCACATATTCAGATAAAGAAAGAAAAATGCTAGTGGGAACAAAAAAAATTTACTCAGACATGATTTTGACTTAATATTTTTTGAGAGGAGTCTTTCTATTTTATAATTGGGAAGCAAGATAAAGAGGCAGGAGTGAGGTTTGAAATTTAACTGGCAAAGGATACTTATTTACTGTGCATGAATTTAAATCTCCACAGCATACTTCCAAAGAGGAATCTGTAGGTACCTTGAAAGCAATTTTTAAATTTTTTTTAATTTCCTTAATCAATTGTATGAATATTATTGGCAAACATTTGACAAAGTATTTCATAATATTTTGATTATCACTCTAACTCAGGGGTGTCAAACTGCCGGCCCGTGGACTGGATGCATCATGGCGAGACCGCGTCTACCCCAATGGAAAAAAAGTCACGATACGTTGCGACACGTCACGTGATGTTGCGAGTTTGACACCCCTGTTCTAACTAAATGTAGGATTGATGACAATTCTGTTGGTTTCACAGCTGACTTGACAAGTACATTCAAAAATGTTCTTCAATGAGTCCTCATACAAATACAAAGTTTTAAGGAGGTTGTCGCAGATTCTGATCAAGAAGGCATATTCTAATTGAATATTTCCTAACAGTAAGGAAATAACAGAAACAGTTTGATAGAAGAAGTGATGGGCTTGCCTTTACCCAGTGTGTTGAATTAGGACCTGGAGTCATCAATCAGGGATGCTTTAACTTGGATTAATCAAATGGCTCCTCCAATTTTGATATTCTAATTTGTATTTCACTACTGTTATGGTGCAGGAGAGATAGCTTGTTGTGGGTTGTATGCTTTTGTTTGTGAGATATGTGCTTGTAGATGCCGTTTTGTGCATATTATGAGTATTTTCGGAGGGAGTTTTGTGCACTACAAGTGCATAGGTTTATAAGGAGCATACAGTAGATGGGAAGATATTTCTGGGATAAAAACTTTGGGAAAAGATTCAGCAAACTGCAGTCTTTCCATTTTTTAATCCAATTCTAACATATGTTCAGAATTACATTTGTTTCTAAATTCATGAAGTAATACTTTAAGTGTTAGAAAAGGTTGTAACAGTAGGCATAGGCTATTTAAACATAAAAAGATACAGAAGGAACTTTTAAAAATCTGTGAAATATTAATGCTCTTAGAAAATGTTTGTGTTACTATATTTGCAAATCCCTTATTTTCCATTTTCAGTATTAGTTCTATGCAGTGCTTTTTTTCTTAAAAAGAAAAAAGGTGCTGGAACTTACACACATCATACAACCTGCCTTGCCTACCCTATAAGGTTCCATCAAAAAAAGGTGCCGGAACTCCGTTCTGGGCGTTCTGTGAGAAAAAAAGCCCTGGTTCTATGTGTATAACATAATCAATTTAAAGCTACAGTATATTACTATTATGAGAATAAGCCATGTTGAGCCTTTTCTTCTATGACTTTGCAAACAAGAAGACATCAAAACTTAAATAAATCAAGATTAAACTTTTGATATTGTTCAATACTGTACAATAAACTGTAAAATAAACATATGTCAGATTGTATGTAATGGGAAACTGTAGCATTTGTGGCTGAATACAGATTATTTAAATCCCTTCCTGAAACACAAAGGAGAAAACAGATGTAGTATAAGCAGTACCATATATGGGTTGCAAAAACTGGATAGTCCCTTGATGATAGCAAAGAGACATGAAATCCTAACTGTGTTTTGCATAGCTATGAATTTAACCTGTGAACTAACTGTCAGGGTATGCTTGTGCAATTCTTTGCACTATTGCCATATTTATTTAAAATATTTCTATTACCATTCTAAAAGATAAACATTTGTAGAGTTGTTCTGCTTCTTATAAATACATTCTAACATTCTGTTAAATGTTATTTTTCATACATATTTTTATAAGATTTTCTAAAGTAGCTAAAGATTATTAAAAATTTCCAGGGGAATCTTAAAACCCATTTAAAAAACATTTAAATGCCCAGATTCACATAGAAAGTAAATACTTATTATGTATTTATTCATTACAAATAAAACAAAAATGAGTGATATAATTTTACAAAAACTGTCTTCTAAAACATATTAAAATTCTTTTTAAAACATAGAATTGCAAATGAAGTATAAAAACAATGTATATGTGTGTGTGTATGTATGTATATATATGTGTATGTGTGTGTGTGTATATATATATATATATGTATGTATGTAATACTCATGAAATAGAGCTTCTCTCTTATTAATGTATTCAGCAGTTCAAGTGCTATCGAATGTAAATGATGAGGTGATATTGATGAAAGGAGGGATTGAGGTCTCGGGGGGCGCTGATGACGGATTGAACAGAAGCGCCCTTGCACTGCACGTAACTCAAGTCTGTCGTCTTCACTACTCAAAGCCATAATGGAAGGTGGCAGTCTGAAATGAGTTGCCACGGCAAAGAGTATTATTTTTGAAATGCTTTCACACAAATCACTAGGCCCTGCATACAACTTAGTTTCATGCTTTAATGTCATCAGGAGGCACAAATTGGTGTGTCTAATTGTTTGCCACCTGCCAGCAAAATGAGCTGCCAGCTAGCCAGACGGGTTTGATTGTCCGTCAGCTTTTCAATAGATTGAGAGTGACAACATCAAAAATTTCACTTCAAACTCTGAAGCTTTGAGCAGCTTTTCAGAGACCTCTTCCCCACAAGTGCTTCTGGACAACTGCATTTTTCAATCAGTTTCAATATATTCCTGCCTTCTGTCTCATCTGTCCTAAGGTGTAGCTGTAATTACATCAAAAACTATATAAACAGATTTCTTTGGCCCTAGACTCTTGACTCAAAGTTATGATCCCAATATCACGTGAAAAACAAAAACAAAAAATGTAGTGGTATTTGCAATAGCACACGCAACTGATTATTTGCTAGTGGCAATGGCAATTTTAGTGAAAGTGACACATTTTCATTTATACTTTTTTATATGTGTCAGATATTTTGCTGTATATGGAAAAGCAAGCAAAGACATTCATAGATTACATATTTTATTTTATTTTATTTTCACTTTATTTTCAAGCAATTCTTATTTACAAATTTATCTTTAGTAAATTACTATGTTGACTATAAAACTCTAAATGTTTGTGAGATTTGAAAACAAGAATTCTAGTAAATTACTTAATGTCAGCTATCCTAAAAAGACTGGAATTAAAAGACCTGCAGATATGAAAGCAGGCTAAATTCACAGTCTAAAAGCATAAGTACCAAATTTTGTTTTTAAAATTATGCTTTCTCCCTGCCCCCAACCACCTTTTGAAACTCTCCTGAATTTAGTAAAATAGATTGGTCATTTATTCTGTCCAAAGAAATAATCAGAAGAAAAATTGGCATGTGGTTTCTTTTAGGTAACTGTTCCTAAAATCTCAAATTCCAGGGTATTTTTAGCAGAACAGAAGATGCAGAAGCTGCCCATGGTGAATATACTAGCTTTTAGATGAAGTAAATGTTAGGGCAGGTTTTTTGTTTGTTTTTGTTGTTTTTTGTTTTAGTATTTCAGTTCTATAATTTGATATTTGTTGATTGAAATATGCAGTCCCATTTTAAACCAGAGCTTGATTTTCTCTAAATTTCATGCTATTAACATTATTTTAAATTACAAACATTGAGGACATTCTAGTTAAATTACATTGACTGTTATTCTGTTTTAGTTTCACTTGGTAACTTGCGTGTGACCCATTCACGGTCTTTTCTAGTATCAGCCATTGGCCTTCTTTTTGCTATTAACTGTACCTTTCTACTTCATGGTACCAATAATATAATTTTATTTCTTTGTGTTCCATTGTGCTCGCAATGAAACAATCATTGGATAGGCAAAAACTGATCAGTCTTTCCCCTGCCTTTCCCCCATTTCCTACATCATATAGTACAATTAAGTTTTCTTATTGTTTCCAACTTTAGCTTTCTAGTCTCCAATCATAAGCAATATATCTTGCTTGCTTTTCTTTTGATTTCAGACTGAACTTGACCATAAAACCCTCTTCTGCATGAGTGGTTAGAGCACAAAATTGGATAAACATGATATTAAACGGTTGTCCATTAAATTTAATTGATATTATTCAGTCACTGACTACATCATACCCAAGTAGCATCTTTGCTATAAGCTTTCAAGCAATACTGTTCATTCTTTATTTTTTAATTTCAATTTGATTATGCCCAGGTTGTCAGTGTGTAGTCACTTCATTTTTCTCTATGTGGAGGTTTCCCATGATCATGCTTCTT